TGAACAAGGCCTCTGGGGGGCAACTTCGAAGTTGGAAGAGGCGGACGCGTCTTAGCGCGCCTGTCCATAAAGCCGAGTAAATCCGACGCATCTCGCCATGCAGTCGCGAAACCCTTCTTGCATGTCTCCCCACGCCCAGCAAAGAATCCGATAAGTCCTGCGCAGCCGGCGCATCACTGTCGCTCATCATGGCGCAGCAGCCCATGACTTCGTTTTGGCCCATATTCGCTTCCAAGTCGGACGGACAGCATGTCGTCAACATCAAAGGCAGGCCCATACGCAACGGGCCGACCGAAGAGCAGCTCAACATGTCGCCCAACGACCAGGGTCAGCGTGATTTTTACCGGCTGATCGAGAAGGATGATCCCAAACACCAGGATTGGCGTAAGAAGCTGGGCGGTATGCTCTTGCGCGAGATTGGCGGCAAGCAGTATGAGGGTAAGAGAAAGCCACGCGGGCTAGCGGGCGGCAGAAAGCTGACTTTTGGCAGACAAGTGGCAGCAGTGCATTCTGTGGGAGCTTCCCGACAACTACGTCCTCTACGAGCACATCAAGACAAAGGCAGACGGCCAGGTCAAGACTGTGAAGAACCACTCTGGCGGCGGTCACGATCGCCAGGATGCTTACCTCTATGGTTATCCCAAAGGCCCTAAGAAACGCTTCAGGAGCCCTGTCGAATTCTTTCCCCATCTTCTGTGGCTATGCACAGACGAGAACAGCGATATGACCAACTGCACATGCAAAATGTGTTCTCCAGCGGGCGACGTTGAGAAGCCTCAGCCCAAGGTCGAGGTCAAGCAAGAGCAGCCAGTGCCTCTCAAGCGAGAAAACAGCTCCAGTGGGACTGCTCCAAACACCAATAACGGCAATGTCGTGGGCCGGAATCCCGTCGTACAAATACCTGTGCATCGAACTTCCATGACCGCGCCAATCCCAAGCCCCATCATCAAGCCAGCCACACCTGTCCCAGTGCAGACGTCGACTCCTAGTGCGCCACAGATTCGGGCTCCTCCGACATTACAATCGACGCCCCTTCCGCAACCACGGTCACTAGAGCAACAAGCGGATCTCACTTACAACAAGTTTCTGTGTCGAACAGGAGAGGTGGTGTGGTTCTTCAGGCCCAAGACATCTGCCTGGGGTCTTGGGCTTGTCGTGCAAAGATGGGCTCTGGCAGAGAACCCCATGAACAGGTCGTACCTAGTTCAGCCGCTCTCACATCCATTTGAGTCCCTTCCACAGGAGATTATACACACCGATGAGCATATCAAGCCGTGGTTGGCTTGGTCCGCGCCTAGTTGCACGTTTCCCTTTCTGCAGCAAAACCCACAGTTTGAGTATGGCAACACTGACTGGAGAGCACTCATCAATGGGCAGGGTGGCGAAGGAATTGCTTCTGTTGATGCATCTATCCTCGCAGCCAAAGCCATTGATACCACATATACACTCTTTGAGCGCTTGAAGACTTCGAAGGATGACAAGGGGAACGAGTTCAGACAGTACAACGGCATATTCCTAGGCGCTGAGAAGATTTGGAGGGGCGAGCCCGTTCGTCTACGCATAGGCGCCACTGGAAGCGATCTCATGGTCATCACGGACATTATCGAACAAGTTCTCGCCAACCCACCCCCCAATCAGCCAAATCCAAAGGTGATCGCAGTGGGTGATGTGTATAGCTATGCAACACTGGATGCCCCAGACCCGAATCTTCCTCCAAAACCACCACAACAGAACCCCAACATACCCTCTCGCATGATCCACGACATGGTATGGCGGAACCGCCTGCTCGTACCCGCAACGCGCACGGCTGCATGGTGGAAACTTATCCAGCCCTCGTACAAGCTGGATATTGACGACATCAAAGGGCGTTGGTATGAAACGAGTCTCATCTTCCAGGAACCTTTTACCAAGGCTGTCAAGAATGGCGAGGGAGGTAACGGCATTTGGATGAACGCCCGCGGAGATGCGACAGGCAAGGGCAAAGGAAGTGGTATTCCACAACCCGATCGCATTGGCGCTTTCGGGGCCTCTGTGCCAAAGGGTACGCGTATCATTGAGGGTCTGGAACCACCAAGCCAGCCCATGGGTCAGGCACAGCAATCTCATGATGGAATGGAGATTACCATGAATGCAGGAATGCCGGATCCATTTTCCATTGACGAGTTTATGCATGTCGACCATCTAGGTGACGAAGCGGGCATGGAATATGGAGGCAACAATAACTACACATATTAGCACAGGCTGGCGTTCATTCTGGGATTTGATGGCATTGTACGGCGCGACATGGAAGATTTTCGAGGATCCGATAAAAGCAATTGAGGTCATGAAAGGCGTGAGATTTGGTACTCTATCAGTAGTACTCATTGTGGGAGATACCCAGGTTAGCTATTTAAGATGGGAATTTTTACGAGCATAGTGTACGAAGCAGTTTTATCAAAACAAGTTCATCGTTGGCGCGGCTTGACACCAATCGAACAGAGAAGATACGATACTTGACTAGACGTAAGCTCAGCCAACCTTTTTAGTCCAAGTCCTCCAAGCGACCTTCTCCAACCCAAGCAATCCAACCAATTCGCCCGAACACACCTCCACCTTTCCGCGGATACAGCATGCGGCTCTAATTCCGGGGAATTACCCCCATCCACCATGCACGCAGCCCGTCATCCATTCCCCAATACGCCCCTCTCGCCGACCCCCGATGTCCCGCCACAAGTCCCCACCGCAATTGCTCCTGCCACATCCGTGCTAGCCGACCCAATTAACCCTATCCCTGCGACCTGCTCTTTTATCAACACCGAATCACGGCGCGCAACGAGCGCAGGTGAGAAGGCAAAAGGTGCGTTGTTCCCGCGGTATCGGGCACGCCGCGTCGGTGGTTCCTGCAGCGACTATCGCCGCCAGTGTGTTTAGGGCGTAGGTGGATGGAGGCAGTGAGCCGGGTTTGCGGGAGAGGGTGGTTGGGGGATGGAGAATGGGGGATATAAAGGCGAGGCTTGGGCGGGTTGCTTGGTTGTGTCCATACGAAGCTTTTGAGCTTGTGTTGCTTGTCGGATTGTTCAAGATGCGATTCCAATTGAGTACGGCGGTGACGGCGGCGCTGGGTCTTGCGGCGTCGGCGGATGCGCTGAAGATTCTCATGGGAAACGATGATGGATTCGGGAGCGGCAATCTGAGAGAGTTGTACAAGATGCTGGTCGATGCGGGTCATGAAGGTTAGTTTACTCAATCGTTGTTCGTAGACACCACTGACGGTACGGGATAGTGCTCATCGTTGCACCCGCTCAACAACAGTCCGGAAAAGGCACGACGGTCGTCTGGGCAGAAACCGCCAATCTTACCGTACCCTCACAGTACAACATTATCCCAGCAGGCGCCCCATCAGTCGGTCGTGATCCCAAAGACGACAACATCTGGTACTACGATGGCACACCCGCAGCATGCACCTTCGTAGCCCTCGACTACGTCCTCCCCCGCTACTACCCAGACTGGAAGCAAACCGCAGACCTCTTCGTCGCGGGCCCCAACTACGGCACTAACCTCGGGCCCTTCGTCATGGCCCTCAGCGGCACCGTCGGCTCAACCTTTGCCGCCATCTCGCGCTCCATCCCCGGCATCGCCACAAGCGCCAGCAACAGAGCAGTCCCCTACTTCAATGTAACAGGCCCTTCTCACCCAGCCGTTCTCGCCGCCAAGGCATCCTTCGGCATCGTCAACGAATTCATCAAGAACACGCCTGCAGGCCAAAAAGTGCTCCCACTAGGTTACGGCGTCAACGTCAACATCCCCGAACTCACCAATGCCACGAGCTCACCCCCCGTTTTCAAAACCAGACTTACAGGAAACGCGGAAACGGATGTCGCTGTTTACAACGAAACCACCGGTCTCTTCACCTGGGACAACGTCAACCCGCTTGCCGCAGGCATCAACGCCCAGTACAACGGCGACGCCAGCCTTCCCGACGAGACGTGGGTTGTTGCCGGTGGCGGCATCAGCGTCAGCGCCTTTACTATGGATTGGTCGGCCCCGGTGTCTGGGTACACGGATGCAGTTTACGCAAAGGCGAGCGCGCTGTTTAGCAGTGGAAGTGGCAATGCAACGGCGTACAGTAAGAGGATGGTTGAGGAGAGGATAAGGAAACGGGGTGCTATGTTGACTGGACGGGATGGAGGTGCTTAGATGAAGGCAATGCTGGAGGTATGAGTATGATGTATACGCTTAATGAATAGACTCGGACACGGGTGAAACTAAGGCGATGCCTTCGTTTTCCGCTCCGTGTAAAACATCAATGAGAAGAATGTCTAATATGTATCCTCCTTTCTTTGCTTCTCGATACATGTAGTTCGCAGCATTGTCAAAGTCATAAACTTAAGCCTTTTGCGCCAAGACTCACAACGCATTACCACCGCATCCCTAAACCTGACGGGTCTGACATGGCGGAATAGTTTCAGCACCACCCCCAGCCAGCGGCCACTTTGCCCTTCTCGGTCGCGAAGGAAGCAATTGGCGACGTATCGCGTTTGCGCACGCTCACCTAGGCGCCATATCCTTCCGTTTTTTTTACTGTTAAATTTTTCCGAATGGTGGATGTTGGGGTGGCTGGTGGTGTTGGGTTGTGGCTCTAGCCAGCCTGTTCCCGAGGCGCGAGTCGAAGAGGGGTGGGGGTGTCTGAGATGGTGTTTTGTGTCAGGCACGCTTAGGCTGTTGCGGCATTGAAAGGAGGAAAGCCTGAGGAAGATGAGTTTTCTGCGCGTGTGAGAGAAGGGGTGTTTTGAGGGTTAAGGTGGGTGTACAAAAACGCATGAACGATCCCTTCTTCTTAAGTTTTCTTTGTTATCGCTCAAGCATCTTTTTTTCCTTGGTTAAACGAAATCGGCTTGAGGCTTGATCGTTTTGTTTCTTATATACCTTTTCTTTGTTGTTAAGAGGTTCAGCTGTGCTGTCTATATTTTTTATACTTCCAGATACAGATACCTTTTTTCGCCAGTTCATATATCTTCAACATGTACTTCACACCCCTCGCCATCCTCTCCCTCAGCGCGCTCAGCTTTGCCGCACCTGTAGTCGTACCACGACAAGCTGGGCCCGTACTCAAGGACACAACATACAATGCCATCTCCATTTCTGGTGGGCAGGCTGGCAATGCGAAAGCCGAAGCAGCAGCTCTCTTCTCCGGACTTGACCTTCAGAATCCGGAAAATATCGATCAGGCGGATTTGACCTTTCTGAACGAGGTCAATCAAGTTGCAAATGATGCCGAGACGGAGGCGTTTAACCCGGCGGTTGCGGCCGCGAGTGGGGATCAGGCGACACAAATTCAGGTCAGTTATATCTTCTTTATTTCTCTCCCCCTCTCCAAAGATCTTTTCCGTCGAGTTTCTCCATACTAATGTCTTACTAGAACGGCAAAATCAAGAACAAAGTCCTCAAGCTCACAGCCACCGTACTCAAGCTGCAGGCTCAACAGGCACAGGGCCAAGATGTAGCAGAGAAGCTTGCGGAAGAGACCAAGAAGCTGAATACTAATGTTGCGCTGGATACGGCAGCAGCAGGTCAGGTTTCGATTGCTGAGCCATTTGATGCCAAGATTTCTGGAAGTGGGTGAAGGAAAGTATGAGTTACATATGCATACGTTCTAGAAATGTCGAGTCAACAACATTGGGGTATATATAACAATCCACATACTTCTTTAACCTTACAATTTCGCCTTAACAGGCGCAAAAGTGCTTCCCTGTCCGCCACCAAGCGCCTGTACAAGCTCATCTACCTTTTCCAACACCCATGTGCATCCCTCGTCGCTAACCAGCCACTTGATTCCTTCTTCCTCACCAGCTTCCGGCTCCTGTTTCCAAGTTCCATCTTCCCATGATTTTCTCAATCCGAAAACGTGACTGAGTACTTGTGGACCGACACCCTGCTGCGCCCTTAGGCATGTTATTGCGATCAAGCTCGTTGTGATACGTCCCACAGTTGCACCTTGGTTGCGTGGGGGATCGGTAAAGAGGCCTCCGTACTCGCTGTTTATGATGAAGACGGGTAGATCCGGGTGCGCTTCTCCAAGCTTCTGTTCGAGTTTTGTTTCCAGAGGGCGGTAGATTGCGTTCCAGAGTTCGCGACCACGCTTGTTTATTTGCTCCACGTTGGATGGGTCGGGGAATCGCGTAGGTGTTTTATTCAGTGATGAAGCAACTGAGGCTGGGAGAGCCGCACGGAAGGCGTTCAGCATGTTGATTGTGCGAGGAATCTATGGCGGCGTTAACATGTTTTCTTTTGAGCCTAGGGTAGATTACTTACGCCGTTAAAACCGATACACTTGAGGCCGATTTCGCGCATAAATTCTGCGATCGCAACGCTTTCATTTTCTGGGCGCGATTTGCTCGAGCTGTGGTAGAGGGCAATCATGGATTCGGGCGAGTTCATGGTCATTGTTGCGGCGGTGGATATGCTGAGCCATGATGGGCGTCCCAGCTTGCGCTCTGTGGCTTCCTTTTCTATCCGGTTGTATATCCCTTGGATTCCTGCGGGCGCTGGCACAGGCCCTGGGCGCGAGTGTGCGGCGTTGATGAGCGACTTGAGGGATGGCGATAGCTTGGACATGGTGGGCAATGTTAGAGCTGGAAGTAAAGTCAGTCGCCGAAACAAGAGTCTAATGCGCAAATGCAACAGAGGCGCAAGGGGTTCGATTCCAAGCAGCTATGTTGAGTAAAGAATGTGGTGGTGGGTGCGCATGTATATGTATGTACAAACATGAACATACGATGACGCGACTTCCCGAGGCCGTTCCGAGGCACGAATTCGGTGGTTTTTCAGGGTCCGACGGCGCTGCATCACTAAAACACCTGATCCGACCTTCACCTTGACCGCACCGCGCGCTCCTATTGCAGCAAATTTATCATGCTGCCCGCGACTCCAACCATGCAATATTCGGCTGCTCAAAGGCCGATGCGGACGCCTCAGATATTGATTGGTCATGTTCGCCAAGTCTTCAGCTGAGCAGATGATTTAGGCAGCTGGAACGTCGATTACTTCGAAGAGTGCCAGTTCAGACTGACTCACAGTTAGAAGCCTTCGAATTCTGACTCTGATGCATTCATTCAATTCCACTGCCATCTGCCCCCAAGGTCTCCTTCCAGCTTAGCATGGGTAGTCCAACCGTCAACCTGACGGTCCCTCGCCGTGGTTTCATAGACATTGGCTCTTCAACATACGCATCGCCCCAGGAACCCTCCGCATACTATGGTGCGCTTCAAGTATCAGATAAAAGCCCATCGATAGAGCCAATTTATCATAAACTCACCCCGGAAAATCGCGAGATACGGCTTCTGAGTATTTTGCCTGGAGTCAAAGACCACTCACAGCCTGTACACTGCCGCCTACAGATATACTCTCTCAATGATCTTGATCCAGATTACCTCAAATTTATGCATGATACCGCCGCGCCCACCACGCAAAACTGGACAAGTAGTCGGCTTTCCCCGCAGCTAGCCAATCTGGCTCCTCTAAAACGGATGCATAGTACTCGGCCGAGCCCCAGTCTCTATCGCTTCAATTGGGGAGACTTTGCTTCCCTTTCATATGTTTGGGGTGACCAGGATGATAAGCGAACCATATTGCTCAATGGCCATGAAACATCCGTAACTGCCAACCTGGAAGCGGCCCTACGCATGTTTCAAAGCGGGTGTGAATTCAACGACCAATTCAAGCTATGGGTTGACGCGCTTTGTATCAACCAGGACGATCTCGAGGAGCGATCTTCTCAAATCAAGATGATGCGTGACATATACGGAAGTGCATGGTCAGTCGTATCGTGGCTAGGAGAGGAGAGTAGTTCAAGCAGCGCAGCGATACAGCTTGTACGTGATCTTGCAGAGATCAAGGCGAGCGGATCAATTGTTGAATTCACTGCTCAGTTGGAGGCAGATCCAAGTTTTTATGGCGGAACCCATTGGATCGGACTTCAAGACCTGATGGATCGCCCATACTGGTTCCGGCTGTGGATCATCCAAGAGGTTATTGTTGGCTCCACAGCGACCTGGATCAGATGTGGCCAACACACAATAGCATGGGAAACTTTCTGTGATGGAATCGCTGTCCTTCAAGAGTATCTTTGGCTCGTAAAAGACGAATGCCTTCAAATGGCTGTCCTCGACACTGGCCTCTACACAGAGCATATATGGCGAACCAGTAGCTTGCATCTCGTATACCAAGACCTCGCTGTTCTCAGCAAACAATTTGCGCGAAAGATATCAGACTTCAATTTTGAAAGGCTGCTGGATCTTGCAAACTCGGGTGACTGTACAGATAAGAGGGATAAGGTGTATGCCTTGGTTGGACTGATGGCTCCTGCTGTCGCAACTGGTTTGAATCCAGATTATACATTACCTGAATGGAAGGTGTATAGGGAGGCAGCCAGGGCCTTTATACGATTCGATGACAACTTGGACGCTCTTCGAGAAGGAAATCCCTGGGGTCCTGCTCGAGGCCTGACGTGGGCAGCAGATTGGTCGTGGCCCGGTAGAATCAGATGGACACGCCATGATCAACAGATTTGGGGTCCTGCATACCTGTTCTCGCGTGACGCTGGATGTAGGCACAATTCGGCATATCATGCAAGCGGTGACCGGAAGCACGATGCATCATTTGATGACGGCGGACTACTGTTACGATGTACGGGCGTTATCGTCGACACCGTCTCTGGACTATCAGCTCGTGGAACAGGGTACTTTTCTCGCTGTGAAACGAGCATCGTGTTTCCCAAAAATTGGAAGAGTGTGTACGGCGATCGCAACGCGACTGCGGAGGCTTTGTATCGTACCCTGATATGTGACAGAGTTGCATACGGTCACCGATCCGGGCCCCAGCATTCTGCCATTTTTCATCTTCCGTCTACTTTTGCTCTCGGAGGTCCACAATTCAAGCAGAGAGGATGGAAATTCTTAGCTGGCCAAGAAGGATATTACTTTCGCTGGGAACAGTTTCGAGCTGGTATGCGGGACTTTCCACTTGGCGACTACCGATTTGATGATTTCTTCTCAGAGGAGATTCCGGAAGATGCTTCTGAATTTGTCTACACTGAAGCATACTCTTGTTTTGATCGCAGCTGCAAAAAACGACGATTCATGACGACAGAAAAAGGCTATCTGGGATGGGCACCGGATAACATCTACGGTGGTCCTGGTGAACAAACGGAAAAAGGCGACCTCGTTGCTATAGTTTTTGGATGTAGTACACCGCTCGTGATACGCCCTTGTGGTGAAGACTACTTGGTTTTAGGCGAGGCTTATGTACAGGGCCTCATGGACGGTGAGATAATTGCAGCTCTAGAATCTGGAGAACATACGACGCAGAGTTTTGCCTTTTGGTAATGACAAGGTCATTGGGATAGTTGGTAAAAATGTCCTTGACTTAGAAATCAGACGCGTCATCAACGAGTGAATTAAATCGACGGAGATCATATCGTTCGGTCATTGAACTCAAAGCACTTGTCGGCTCGCTGTTACTTGTGTTGTAACGACTCCAGGCGTCCACACGATGCTCAATGAATAGCAAGACTCATACCCTCCCGAATTTTCTCTCGGATCCTTCGGATCTTCTGGAAATATGCTAACCAATCACACTCGATGTTTGACTCTGCGATGCTTCTGTTTGCAACTGGCCACCATCATGATGAAGGGATGTTGAGCTGGGGAATCCATGACCTTCCAAACCCAAGGAAATAACAATCATCTACTCAAAATTGAAGATTGGCGCAAAAGGACTACACAACACCCATCGTATCGTTTAATAGAAAGGAAGCAGATTGCGGTTGTGGCGAAATCAATATTGAAGGATCAATACCCATTGCATTAGCACAAGTAAATCTTCCAGCAACCTGGGTTAAATTATCAGGATGAATGTCTGCGTAAGTCCAACGGAAAGCACATTGTAGAGTTCAGCCGGTTAAAATGTACAAGGAAATAAAGTTATAGCCGGTGAAGGCTTGTCCACCACCGATCATTCCCGCTAATCATCTTGGAGAAAGCTTGATTTTATCCCCACTCATCTCCCGTCTTACCCCAGCCCTTGACCCGCGACGGCCCAACATTAGATCGCTAAGAGGAGATTACCGAGGATTTAGGTGCAAATTCACTCCCCACAGCCTGAAGAGAAACAAGCTTGTTTCCACTTTATCCTAGCTTCCGAGCCCTCCGTGGCATTTGGGTAAATCAGAGCACACGCTGATCATCATGTCGTCATGTAGGACTGGAACTCTGTGTACATCGGTTGAAGTTGAACTGCAAAAGTGAATAAAAGGAGATGGGTGCAGCACTAAACACTGCCATATTCTTCAGCGCCTGCAGTGGCCATGTCTATCCTTCTTTTTTTCATCGCCGTAGGCAGCGTGACTACTCAACCGTTTCCACAACTGTATCCGCAACCATGGGTGTACAGCCAGAAAGACCCGCCCGTCCAAGTCATGATTGATGCGACAGTCAGATATCAGACCATGATTGGTGGTGGTTGCTCAGGAGCCTTCAATGTTGCATGCGACCAGACCGGGTCTAAAGGTCTTTCGCCTTCGAACCAACAGCTGGTCAGCGACTACCTTTTCAATGAGAACATTGGAGGTCTTTCGATCCTTCGTAACCGTGTTGGATCAAGCCTTTCAGACGGCATTCTCGGTAGCTGTCCGGCAACACCATCCTCTACATTCAATTATACTGGTTTAGGAGCCAACGATGCCACTGCCGATAGCTGCCAACTGAAGCTATCTCAGCAAGCCCTTAAAGCAAATCCGAACCTATTCATTTATGCAGATGCGTGGTCAGCTCCAGGGTGCTTCAAAACGGGTGCCACAGACGTCAACGGTGGTCTTATCTGCGGTGTACGAGGGACCAACTGCACTCATGACTGGCGTCAAGCATATGCAGATTATCTTGTAAAATATGTCAAGTTGTACGAGGAAAAAGGCATCAACGTCAGCATGATTGGTGCGTATAATGAGCCAGACTTCAATCCTGTCTACTATGCCAGTATGGACACGGACGGATACCAGGCCAAGGATTTCTTGCAATATCTATACCCAACGGTCAAGAAGTATCGAAAGGACCTGCAAGTGTCCTGCTGCGATGCTACAGGCGCGCGCCAAGAACGCACGATACTGTATGAGCTGGAGCAAGCTGGTGGCGGAAAGTTGTACGATGTCGCGACTTGGCACAACTACCAGAGCATGCCTGAGATGCCATTCAACACTCAGGGCCAGCCGAACTTGGAGACGGAGTGGTCAGATGGAAGCGGCAATTTCAATACCACATGGGACACCACTGGGCAGCTTGCTGAAGGACTTCAATGGGCTATCTATATGTGAGTCGCATCATGTTTATCAGTCAGTGAATGAAAACTAATAGCGAAACAGGCACCAAGCTTTTGTCCTAAGCCACACATCCGGATATCTTCACTGGTGGTGCGCCCAAGATAACCCAGGTAACTCATCCGGCAGTGACGCCATCCTTGTCCGTCTCCAAGGCAATACATTTGAAGTGTCCCGTCGCCTATGGGCATTTGCAGGTTACTTCCGTTTCGCGCGCCCAGGTTCCGTACGCATTGACGCGCGCAGTCCTGCTGAGAACCTGAAGGTAACGGCCTTTGAAAATGTCAATGGGACGCTTGCGATCCCTGTCATCAATGAAGCGCACTACGAGAGAGAGGTTCATATCAGTTTGAATGGTAGTCTGAAGGCGTTTGCAAAGGCTACGGCGTATTTGGCGGATAACACGCATAACAATACGTTGGTGGGGAGTGTGAATGTTAGTGGAAAGAGTTTTACCGCGAGTGTAAAGCCGAGGAGCTTAACGACGTTTTTCTTGGAGTAGATTTTGAGGTAGTTGGTTTTGGTTTATCTGTACAGTCTAAGGGGCTGGCTATACAACGTGCGATGACTTCCTTCAGACTTTATTAAATATGCATCTGAAAGTTTGGGTGCTAAATCGAAGACATCTGTTCACAGTTTCATTCTTTTTCTTTCTCATCTCTAGTGGGTTTGTTTGTAATGAATTCTGACGCAGTGAAAACCCTATACTATGCTTAAGTGGCGCCAAATAGCGCACCGTTTGCATCTTCACTGACCGCTTTCATCTGCTCAATTTCCGCTACGTCATATTAAATCCCACATAACTGCTGCCTAAAGCCTTTAGTTCCATCCACGCGTTTGTCAAAAAGGCTAGTTGCAAGTGTTGTCAAACAACGCGTCAATTCTTGAAGTCCGTCCCGTCCAGTACAACCATATGCTCTACCCGTCACACTCTTAGCACAACACTCCAACCACACTCTTTAACCTTTCAATAACCCCCAACCCATCCAATGCACACTCCCAACATCTCCCCACGCACCACAAAACCACCGCCCCCCTCCCTCGACACCACAACATCCACCCTAATCCCCATCGCCATCCCCCTCGGCTTCGGCGCCCAACTCCGCGTCCTCCAACAAATCCAAACCGACCAAACCACCCGCATCTCCTCTCTAGAACGCGAAAACCTCTCCCTCAAAAGCCTCATCTCCACCCTGACCTCGCGCATCGAAGCCCTAGAAGCCCACAACGCATCCCTCGCCGCCCGCCGCCGCGAACTCGTCGCGCAGCTTAGCAGCCTGCGCACGCTAAACCAAGAGGCGGATAACGCGTTTCAGATGCGTAGCGCGGATATTCAGCAGGAGGATCTGGAGGGCATGTTGGCGGTGCATAGTGTGATGGTAGCGACGGCGGTGAATCAGCATCAGAGGGCGCTGGCGCAGTTGAGGATCGGTATGCAGGGTGGGGCCGCGGTATATGGGCAGCAGGGTGGCGTGAGGTATGCGTATCCGCCCGCATATTCAGATCTGGGATATTGCTTTCAGCATAATATGCCGTATTGCTGTCAGATTTGTGGGAAGTGAGGGAGACGGTCATGTGGGTGTATAGCTGGGATTTTGTATGTTTTGTATGTGGAGTTTGGGGTACCCAGGGTGCTTGGTAGACATCGGGTTTGGCTTCTCTGTTTCCGAGTTTGATTTCTGCATTTGGTTTGAGATGACTGTATGCACGTGTACGGTCTTTTGCTCGGGTAGGGCCATAACTGCTAGAGTGATAGGATGTTCTTGTAGTTTTGCGGTCTTTGAGGGTTTCTTCTACGAGTTTCCATTTGGCGTTCAGAATTTTGTCTATCGTTTACTATATGCGATAATCCGGGGAGCTGGGTGCGAGTTTTGTAGTGCATGTGTACGTATAGTGTATTTGACATGTACATAGTGATTGTTTTATTCGTCTTTGAATACTTTTCTAGGCACTGATGTGAAAGAATCGAACACTCAAATATTATCTACTTAAGTGTAAACTAGAATTAAGTTATATATGAGAAAACCTCTAGCGGATAGCTAATTGAGACAAACGACATATGTAGAAACTCATATAAATTGATTTCGAAAACAGTGGTGTATTCAAAGAAACATGGTCCCAGCAGTCCCTCATGATTCCATACAAGGAATCGTTCTTCTCCCCTTCAGCGATACTCTCCAACCACAATCTCAGCCGCCCTCTCCGCAATCCCATAAACCGCAGTCTGAATATGCGCCGAAACAATCACTGGAATTACACTCGCATCCACAACCCTCAAATTCCTCACCCCATACACTCTAAGCTGCGGATCCACCACACCGCCATCCTTTTTCGGCAACATGGCACACGTACCAAGTGGGTGATAAAAGGTAAAGACGTTGTTTCTGATATATGTCTCCCACTCCTCATCCGTCTGGGTGCGCATCCCAGGATCAAATTCAGAAACCCAGAGGTCTTTAAACGGTGCCGTATTCGCCATTTTGCGCGTGTACTTTGCTGCGGATACGAGGGCTTCGATATCATACTGTGTTCCCAAATACCTTGGATCGATAAGAGGTTTGCTCGCAGGATCTGAGCTGTTAATGTGAACGGATCCTCTAGCAAGCGGGTGCTGGACTCCTGCGAGAAGCGTAGCGTATTGCTTGCCGTAGCCGACTGTTCCATTCTTTGGGTACCCGGTTGTTCCTATATAGCCGTCTCCGAAGATGACTTCGAGATCTGGGGCTCCGGAGTTGGGGTCGGTTAGGAGAGCAAGTTTCTTTTGGTCGATGGGGTTGGATATGTTGGCGGATGATTTGGCGAGTTGGAGCAGCTTCTCGTCGCTGGCGAGTGCTTCATTCCATTTTAGAAAGCCGTAGCAGCTGCCGGCGTATTGGTAGAGAGAGGTCTTTTTTTGCCTCCATAGATCCAACTCTATGGCTGCTCGTGTTGTATTGTATTTGAGAATGTCCACGCCAGGAACCTCAGGTTTTAGCTCGTATGTTGTTTGGATACGGAGGTGGTCTTGAAGATTCTCACCTACACCAGGGAGGTTTACGATTTGTTTTATTCCGGCCTTATCTAGTATATTTTTCTGGCCAATACCGGAAAGTTCTAGTATTTTGGGAGATAGCAGGCTACCAGCTGAAAGAATGACTTCTTTGGTGACCTTGACAACGGTACCGTCTAAAAGGATGACACCCGTTACTTTGGAGCCGTCCTTCGTGAGCTGAACTTTGTGAACAGTAGTATTGAACATGAATACCAGATTATTGCCAGCTGCAGGGAGATAGTCCACCGAGTACGACCGTGTATGATTAGACACACGGTATGTTGCTGGCTGATACATGGCACCCAAGTTGTTTCCATTCAATGATTCCAGATTCTCCTTCACCCCGAGATTGGTCAAGGTCGGTATGCAAGCCTGGAGATGAGGTGGTGGATCCTCGGTCAAAGCGACTTGGATTGGGCCGCCATAGCCCACGCCATCTTCGCCATATTGTGGCGAGCCGTTTTGACGCTGAAAGTTTTCCGTCTTGAGCATTGCGGGATACATGTTACTCCATCCCCAGCCTGGGTTGCCTAGCTCTTCCCAAGTATCATACTCTTTGACGGTAGCGCGGTTCCAGACAAGAAGATTGAGGGCAGAAGTGCCACCGAGAACTTTTCCCCGGTTATGGCCAATAGTCCGGTTGTTTGCTGCAATCTGAGGTACAGTTGGAAGACTCCAGTCGTATACGGAGCCAAAGGTAGAGCCTCTTAGACCTGGGATGTATATTCGCTCTTCATTACGTCCGTCTGGTCCGGCCTCGATGACCAATATGCAATGTTCTGGAAGGCCTTCACTGAGCCGAGTGACTAATGCGATACCAGCTGTGCCACCACCGACAATGATCTGTAGTAAACATGAGCCCTGTATCCTTGCTGATTCTGATTGCAACTGTGCGTACAAAATCGAACTCGCTAACTCGCGCTGAACACTGCGCAGCATTGGCTGAGAATACTAGGCCCAGCCCAGCAACGAGACTCAAGACCGGTGTGGAAAACATTGCCGGTTGGACCTACTTGTGTCAAAGGATAACCTTCTCTGAACAAGCAACTAAGAGAATGTGAGGGGTCGCATGAAAGTGCGTACAAGGCTGGCGATCTGGGTGATATTTGGGGCGCTTGTTAGATTACTGAAGGACCGGGAGTAACCAACAAAGGCAACTGAAGGATGAACAAGATATGCGCCATGGTGATGCGGCAATTTAGCCCCCACGGTTACTTTGTCACTGTTGGGGGAAGTCTTTTCCGTGCTCCATATTGGAGCGTGCACTTAAAATCCAAGGATGACAAAGTCACAACTAGATGATGACCACCCGATGCATTGATGTTATAGGGGGACTTCTCTTCGTCAGCTCGGATCTGTTATTCTGCGTTACCAGCATCAACGTGACACCTGCATATAGCCTAATGCCGGTAGTTGTAGCCAAGGCGGGACAATTACTAAAGTTGTAGCTCAATCCTTCACCGACTAGGCTCGGCTCGTCAAAATCTTGCCATATCCCTGGGGATATCCAGTCGTTCGCGGCAAAGGTTTTGTGATGATAGATGTTCCGATTTCTTATGACGATTGTATTTGCTGCAGCCATGTAGAGTTGATGCGCGCAGCACCTTCCATTGTGCATTGGCTGCAGTTAGTTATTTGAATGTCTCCTCGCATCAGAAAGTCGGATGGACGGCATGGCTGGCTGACCTTTGAATTCATCATCGTTCAGTTGAGACTGTTGGCCTTTGTTAGTGATTGAAGTACGCATCGGATCAAGCTATGCGTTCGAGACGGGTGCGATGTGGATTACCTGCTTTGGAATCGGCCGTGATCCCATTGGTGTCGCTGGGGCAGGGGGGAGGAGCGACACCAATCGACAACGGTCGGATCGGAAGACATCCGACACAACCACAGTACTGCCACTGGCGGGCGGCACGAGTGTGCGACTGTCGCTCATGGGCGCCACTAGTTGATACTTTTAGGTTGAGTTGTTGATGGATTTTAAAGAGAATATACAGACGGCCGAAAGCTCAAGGAACAAGTCACTGTCTAATGTGCTTACTGTTGATGCAGAGTACCGAAGCCGCAACCAGCTTCCGATACGGCCATCGTGTAACTTGAAGATGAAGCGTAATGCACCACTATGACTAACGCGAAGGTTTGCACGCTTTGACACGATACCAAAGTATCCAACTTTTGGCAACCAGTTCAAGAGGCTCAGTCTGAATAGTAGAGATCCCAATCTTCGGCAAAGTCCCTCCAGCTGTCCCCACGATCGTCCCAGTCATCATCCCAGCCATCGTCCAGATCATCGTTTGAGTCGAAGGAACTGTTGCGAGGCACACAATTCCATTGATCCAAAAGCATATTCTGTTCACTGTTCCACGGTGCCATCGCCTTGGCTGGATTTTGTGGCTGGTAGTCCGATCTTTGAGACATCGCAACGCGCTTTTTGGATTCTTCACAGACCAGGACTTTCCACTGATCGTTTCGATGTTTCCAATATCCACTCCGCAAATTATGTAGGTACAAAACGTCACCAACACAGTAAGATATTATATCCTCGGGAATCGGACGCTGGTTGAACACGTTAGGCGAGCCGCCATGTTCGACCTTGTACAATCGCTCGCCTATCTCCTTAGCTAGCTTCCAGCTAGCTATTTTGCTACTATCAAGGGACGTCGGCAAGTTGTTCTCAAGGCATTTGGTCAGGCCGTTCAAGAACTTTCGGGATGGGGTGGTCATCCTTGTCGCATTCTCCATAAGCTGGACGTCCTGGACCCCCTGCAGCGCGACGCCGTAATGCGCAAATAGCGCATCCGAATCGTTACGAACGTCGAAAAAGACCTTTGTGAGTCTTTCGTTTTGAAGGATATCTTTTAGCGTTGTCTGTTTGGCACCGGCAGTGTTGAACGCTTGTGCGCCTAGTGTATGAACATCGACTAAGTAGACATGGTTGCGAAGGGCAATGACATCGAATAGGAGGTTGAGGATAGAAACGGACCCTTCGCGGCAGAGGTTCACGCCTTCGAGATCTATGTATAGAGTTGGCGAGTGTGAATCTAGCGATGCAAAGGTGACGAGCCAGTCGACCATTTCACCGATTCCCTGCGTAGTGTTTACGATCTCTGGATCGATTCCCCTCATAATTAGTATACAGGTTTTGTCGTTTCAAACTTGTATAGATATGAAGAGGGAAGGAGGACTTGGTTGGAAATTATCATATGCCGCAGCCTTTACGAGCCCGTAGAAGTGATGACTTCAGATGAGTCTGAAGCAATAGATATAACTGCACCACAGATAGTTAAATGAAGAAGGTAGAAAACAGAGATAAGCAACACACACGTTCTTCCTACCATATAACTCCAAGCCTACACGTGCGACTGCAAGCCTACGTAAGGGGCGTGCAACGTGGTGCGGGGTTTCTTGGCTTGCCATGTAATCATACAGTGGCAGCTTTCCAAGGGCTACTTATCTTTGTGTACAGATAGCCCATGGAAAGTAACATTCACAGCTTGGTAAGTATAAGTGCGATGCCGACTAGCGCATAGTCGCTCGTCAGCCACAATCATATGGAAGGTAGCATACCATCGCTCATCAGCGACACTAACCGACAACCATCACCTGTCAACCACGATAATTAGGCCATTATCAAAAATGTCAGTTGCGTAGACGTCTGACATAAACCGACAGCTGTCTCTCACATGCAACACCAATCAAACTACCAGCGCAAGCGTCCGCACTAAACACTGCAAAGAGTACATCATCGCAGACTCGCTCTGCCCCTTGCTTCTAATAGTCCTGATGCATAACTATCAGTTCCTGATAGCGATGCGCATGGTTTACACTGCGTGCTCTGCTGTTACGTCCAGATCATTTGATTCAAACCTGAACGCATCGCCCTTTCAGTGTTCATGTATAGTTTTTGATTTGTAAAACGCACAAAAAACAAGAGGGCAAGGTCCAGCATTCAACTTAAGACTTCTGGAGATATGGAGAGTCTGGATCAGACCAGGAGTGTATGCAGTGATATGCCTCTGGGGTCGATTCAATGGATCACAGCGACGACATGCAGATTTTGCAAGGAAATACCCTGCGGCTGGCAGGAGCTCGCCTGCATTTACTGCACATCACAGGTAAGTACATTTTCGCTGCAATTCCAAAGTACTCCCACTTATCTAGACAGCCTTCCTATAAATCATGAAACACCACTCTCCTCTCCCACCAAACCAACCCTCAGAATAAACTTTATACCATATACCCACATAGATATCATCGTCATCGAAAACTCAAATACCAGCCATCGCCCAGCCTCCCGATGATGCAGTTCACGGAAACCAAGCATTACGATCCCCGTCCAATACGATTCCCAACATATACCAACCCCCCTGCTCAGTATTAAGACAGGGTACCACCTATAACCAGCACAACCATCTTCCCTGCCCGAAAAGTCAAAACGAGCCGACCAAACGCGCGCTACTTTCCTGCTATGCAACAAACACGAGAAAGCGCTACTCCCAGATTGAGCATGTACACGCGGGGGACACTCCCCCCACGCGATCGAGTCCAGGAAGTGCTGTTGTGCACAAACCTTGAGAAAAGAACGGAAAACGAAACATCAAAATGCCTATATTTTTTGTATTATTATTTTATGGATTTGGGCCGGCCAAGCCGGGCATAAGTAAAAGACACTTGCTTCGAAACAATATCGTTTCAAGTTTGTATTTTGCCACAAGGCACGACGGGGGGGAGATGGGCGTATAGGTTCCTGTTGTTCTTGTCGGCAGTAGAAATTAGAGTTTATGAAGTTCCAAGGGATTGTGAGGCACGGTGCGGGGAAAGTAGAGACGGAAGCGTTGGCGATTTACAGGGGGCCGGTCGGGGATAAAGTAATGGGATTGAGGATCGTAAAGTAAGCAGAAGCTGCGAAAATTAATCAGTTGTCGGAGTTGCGCGATAGTGGGAAGAGGAGAAGTTTGGAGTATTAGATGTGTATTTGTTTGATAGCTCGTGGTTTATCTGTCGTGAAACATTGGAAATGATCGAATGTTTTTCGATGTCTAAGTATGCAAAAAGAAACACGAAATACTAAGTGGTGTCAAGCTTTTGCTTGGATGCGCAAAATGCCAGCATATGCACTAGATTAGCCCAGTATCTGTCGCACCAGTAATGTAAATATCGACAAAGAAGTACAAGTGGAACTCAATGAAACAATTGATTTTGTACATTATTCCATACGTATTTGCCTGTCCCGCGACTTTTGCGATTGAGGCCGCACCTCTACATGCATAGTAGAGAACAGCTCATTTTTTCCCGGCTGCGTGAGATATCCGCTATCATACGGACTGATTCCCTCAGACTCCACTCTTGTCAAGCCCTTGGTGCTATCCACACTCTTCAACGATGCAGCCCTCGTAAGTTCGATTTGGTCCTGGGTAACGCTATCGAGGCGCTCGTGAGATGTGACGCGGACTTCGTTGGTGATGAAGATGTGTCCCCAGTTGGCGACGACGGTAGGCCAGAAGATGGGCATCGAGGCGCACATGATTGCGAAACTGACTTCGAGGAAGGAGATGATGATGACTTCGGGATACCACCTATACAATCCAGCGTTAGTGAGAGTTCTGTTTCAGAGTTGTAGAGCAAGAGAATCGGCTCCTTACCAAACGAAATCGAAACTCTGAACCGAATCCTTGTTGTGCCTGAACGTAGCCCAGAGACGCAGAATCGACATCAAAACAGCACTGTAAAAAAGTTAGCTATCATCGCTCCAAACCGAATCGAAATACCAACATTGCGCCGAAAGCAAACAGTCCAGTCATAGCAATAACCTCCTTGCGCCTCAGATTGTTCCGAAAATACTCAGTGAGCGGAATAGCAAAGATGATCAAATCAAACATCATATTCGTTCCCGCAAAAGCCAGAACCGACGCTTTCGCCTCACCCACTGAATGGTAACCATAGCCATAGCACTTTGAACCCGTCGATCTGGTCCAAAAGGCAGAAACAGGGAAGCACGGGAACCAAGCCATGAATAGGAAGACCAGCGCCCACACAGTGACGAGCCCAAGCACAACCCTACACACGATGCGGCGCACGCCGTTGCGGAACATGCGCAGGTACTGAAGGAGAAGCGAGATTTTGATGCAAACGGTGGTGGCGTGGTACGAAGCGTTGTTGATGTAGACTGTGATCATGGTTGGTTGGAGCACGGGGATAATGTAGATGAGGTGACGACCCATGCCATAGTTTAAACCTGTAAGAAACACAATCAGATGATGTTCTTCAAAGAAAAACTGAAAATAAGAGCAAGACGTACTAATCAGGAATCCGATGAGCGCGGCGAGATTGAATAGCGCGGCCAGTACGACAAAGAGATCATCGAGACCAGGCTCGCGGATCACGCGTAGACGTGTATGAAGACGACCTGCGACGAAGACCCAGCAGAGGACCTGTCAGTGTTTAGTTTGGGTTGTCGGCGTCTCATCGTTGGGGGTTGGTGGAAACGGTACCTGCAGCGGGATAGTGATACCATAGATCGTTCCCTTGCGATTCCACACGGGAATGCGCTGATTAGGGTCCGGGGGGTTCTGGAACAGCTTCATCATGATGGAGGTGAACTCATCCTTCATGGCAGGCGTATTGTCTGCCATGATAGTCTGGTGACGTTGGAGGAGCTAGAGATAATAGGTGTGGTCCGCCAGCGGATGGAGTCGGTGATGATTACAGTTTGAAGGTGCTTAGGGCAAATAAGCCTCTAGATTATGCACGTCGTCCCCTCTTTACACACAGCACCCAGATGCTAGTTCGCCCAGTTTCAGGAAACAAGTCTTGGGGCGGGGGTAAGCGATCAGATCCATGTAACCCGAGCCGTGGTGAAGGTCGTGGCCGCCCATGTGATCCCCGACAGGGCCGAAGGAATACTTATCTGTGGAACAAATTCCCAGAGATGTATCGTAAATGGTCATTGAGCCGTTCGGCGCAGGCGAACATCATGATGTTAGGCCGGGGTGGCTTGCCTTACAAGGGTGCCAATGCAGCAGTGGTGCGACATGCACATCGCCGTGCCATGTGGCCTAAGCTGCTTCTTTCATGCTCAGAGTCAGGGTCATGATCTTCAGTTTGAAAATAAAATAAATTCACTGCCCTGATTGACAGTGCTAGTAGTTTGGTGGTACTATAGTGTTCTCTTAGATTTGGAATACGAATAATTCTCATACAAGAAGTCAAGCCGACCGACCAAGCCTCCGAGCAGTTTCCAAGCGCCTCAGCCGCTGTCAAAATGTTGGCAAAACGCAGTTAGGCGATGGCTTTCTTTATTCCTAGGCTAGAAGTTTTTTTTCTCGCCGCCACCACAAGCTCTGTCCTGTTGAAACGCACGTGGAAGGCCCGTGTGGAGTACGCCCTACCTGCTAGATGACCCCACAAAGATCTGGCTGGAATCTAATGCTCGAGTAATGCACTGGCCCAGGAAACTTTGTCGTGCGGGTCGCAGCTGTTGATGGGGTATAATGTTATTGCTTATATGCCGTCAACGAGGATCACCGCCGTCTCACGGCATGCCAATTGTTGAGTTTGCGACTAGAATTCGCTGTAGTGTCAGGAGATTTGCCGTCAAGTCGGCTCTCTAGCTCACGCCCATGTCCGTGACAGTGACAGTTGAGTCTAAGGATAATTGAGTAATCTTAGGCGTGTCCCGTTTCGGCAAGTCTACGGCCAGATTTGCCCGCACAGGGGTAAACGTCCATCAACTAGACTCTTCTCATCTTATCTTCAGCAGCCAGATAGCAGCCACCACATGCTAGAATACTCACATCCTTGCGAGTGACAGTACCCACTTTTCTAGCAAGGAACGCCTTGAAATGCAACAAAAACGCCAAAATAACTGATCGAAACTCCCACGTGCGTTTGCGCGTTTAGTCCTCCATCTTCATATCCTCGAAGTCGTCAAGTAGCTGATCCATCGGAATCTGAATGCCCTCATCTTCGTCATCACCAAGACTGCTCTCGGTTTCCATCGCGTCGGCATCGCGCTGCTGCTGGGCCTTGTAGAGTGCCATTGTCTGTCGCAGCTCTTGATCCTCCTCGACATCCTGCAAGAACATCTCAAAGTCGCGCTCCATCTTCTCCTGGTCTTGCTTGCGAGGCAACATCTCGCCCTCTTCCTTGTGCATGCGCTTGACGCGCCAGTTGCGCTTGTTCTTACTCTTCCGGGACCGCTGGTAGTACTTCTTGACGAGGACCACATCTGGAATAGCCGAGGCGTATTTGTTATTCTGTTCAAGGACATCGAAAAGATCGTTGTTGAAGTTTGTATTGGCGAGCAGGTAACCCATTACCGAATCGCCAACGTGGAGAATACCACCGAGGTGTGTTCGGCAGTAATACGTTGTGTCATTAACACCCATATCGGACGCGCGTGCTACGGTTGCTTCTGCGAGAAAATTGCGTCCAGATTGCTTACCCAAGGGCTCGATATCTAAGACGACAAATTCCGTCAGCTCTTGCACGTCTGCCAATGGTCGGAATGGCGTCCGCCAATAGATGTCGGTAGCGACGTCGGCAGTTTGTAGTGTTGCTGGGTCAAGGAGCTGAACAGATGTGCCGATGCGTGAGCAGAGTGTCAGAGGTGAGATATTGCCAATCTTCTTGGCCAGTGGGATGGGAAGTACGACAAGGTCATCTTTACAAATAGGCACAATCTCACATGAGAACGAGAACTTGTAGTTCTTGGTTGACGTGTGGATATCGTGTGAGATGAGTTCCTCGGACCTCTTGATGTTGACAGGGATGACGGCCTTCAAAAAGTCGCAAAAGGCGACTGCGTGATTTCTTTGTGCGAAAAAAAAGTCGATGCCGTCGTGTACTTCTTTGATGTTGATGGTGTCTTTGTGTGCGCCGTGCTTCAGAATCAGCTGTTCCAAGTACAAGAAGGTCCTCTTGTGTGGCACCTTTTGTCGCACTTGAACGCAGGCCCTCCATGTGTTGTGTGTATAACTCTTTGCGCAATCCGGGCACTGGTTGTAGTTTTGCGTGTATTCGACCTCAAAGGTCTGCTGCATGATGGCGCCCTCGTTCAATTCCGACTGCACCGTGATCTTGACCTTTATCCTTCTGCTGTGCGGCTCCGTCCAGATGAAGCTCGCATCGATAATTCTTAGCTTGTTCAGTCCACGCAGTTTTCGAAGGCACAGAGCGAGCAGTTCGCGCGACTCTGGGGGCGCGACTACCCAAGTCGAGGGTGGGGAGAGCCATCGGTCGCAGTCACGGCACATGAGCAGGATGGCTTCACGCTGGATGCCGCCGGTAACATCGGTCTTGAGTTTTATACAGTCGTAGCAAAAGGCTCCAGATATGGTTCCGTCGACAGGGGCGCCACAGTCGGCACAGAGGATTGTCGCTGCGTTCTTAGGCGCAGGCGCAAAGGACTGAGCGTCAGTCATTGTGCCGTCCATTTTGGCAAGGAGATTCGGCAGCAACAGTGTGGTCAAGGTAGTTGGAGATCCTCTGGCCGTAATAGAGGGAAAGTATATGGGTATAAAACGGAGAGCAATAATCTGAGTGTTTATGAGTCGAAATGTGTGGCGAATTTGCTTGGAAATTCACCCTCAACCAAGACCCCGCCAAAATTTCCTGCCCGCTGCGGGACTGATAAGGGTCTTATCATCACGTGAAAGCATATCGGCCAATGGAAAGCTGGAAAGCAGCGCCACGGCAGCCATAATCCTTTCGTTTGTGTTGCATGCGCTAGCAGGGGTTGGCAAAACATCCCATGTCATCGAGAAATGTCACAACTTCAACGCCACCTACACTGCAGCACGTCCATTGCGCTTCAAAATGTCGGTTTCGAGAGCTGTTTCCTCGAGATTTATCTGCAATTCCTGCTTAAAGGCAAACGCACGTCCATCGCCAATAATACCAAAGACCAACCGCATAACATCTCGCGCCTCGCCTCTGAAACCTCCACAATGCGCATTCAGCACGAGCCTGTCTCGAAGATCGCAAAAAGACAATTCTTCAGCTGAAGACCCTGAATTCGCTTTTCTAAGCAATAATGAAAAACAAACGACATCCAATTCCGAAGCACACGACCCTGCGACAGATTCCTTCGGCAATCTAGAACAGGCTACGCCAACGCCTTCCACACAAGATGCCTCTATTCCATGGTATCTCAAACAGCAATCATCCGTACAATTGCCGGTCCAACAACCCGCCGAGATACCCGCGCTCCCAAAAAATCCCCCACCACTCCTCGAAACCCTCCTCGACTACATTTCCGTCACAGCTGGTCTAGACGATCTAGAGCTTCTCGACCTACGGCACCTCGACCCCCCACCAGCGCTCGGCCCCAAGCTGATCATGATCATCGCAACAGCCAGGTCAGAAAAGCACTTACATGTGGCAGCAGACAGGTTCTGTCGGTACCTACGGAGAGAGCACGGTTTGAAGGCAAACGCCGCAGGACTGCTTGGCCGGAACGAGCTGAAGATCAAGTTGAGGCGCAAGGCAAAACGAATGCGTATGCTGGCGAATATTGGCGGAGCGATACCAGAAGGCAATATCGACGACGGTATTCGCACGGGCTGGATCTGCTGTACGTTGGGCAAACTAGAAGCGCATCCAGAAGATACACATATGCCCGGCGACAATGTACAAGAGTTTGTCGGGTTCAGGGACGTCAAGCCAGGTGTTAATGTGGTGGTGCAAATGTTTACCGAGGAGAAGAGAGCGGAAACGGATTTGGAGACGCTGTGGGGTGGTGTTGTGAGAACGCACCAGAGGAAGATGAAGACGGCTGATGAGGCGCTTAAGGAGCTGGAGGATGATATAGAAGATCTTGAGGAAGAGGATGGAGAGTATATTGAGTATGAAACACGGCGTACACCGCGTGGAGTGAGTAAGCAGCCTACTGAGACGAGTCGACATGTTACTCCTCCAACTCCAGCACGGCAGATGCATAGACCGCGGCCAACTGCTGGAGATGTCTTCCCACCCGCTTCAGCTCCAGAAACCCGGAAGCAAATACGTAGGCTGCACACTGTCGGGCTGTAGCAACACCAAGCATAAAAAAGACTCGATCATAGAAAAAGGACATTAGATTTCATAGCGGTGGCATCAACCACTGTACCCATATTCCAACCATCTGTAATACTACCAATAGAAAAAAAACACTATATCCTACCCATCCCAAGCTACCCAAACTCCAATAACCCCACCCCCCTTCAGAAAATCCTCCCAACAACAAACGCCTCAAAAACCACATTCTCCAACACCTTCCTCTCAATCACACCCCCATACCCATAACACCGTACAGCCCCCACCAACTTCTCCTTCAGCATCTCCCACCTCCCCACTTCCAACCCACTAAACGCCGCATGCTGTCTCACATACTCCCAAGCCTGGACTGGCGTTACCTCGCCATCGGCCAGTGGGACGTTTGACGATATGCTGAGCACGTGGGAGAGCGAGGAGCGGGGCGCGCGCCAGGGCGTTTGCGAGTACTGGCGGTGTCCCGGTGGGGAAGGGTGCGTGTGCAGGAGGCAGGCAGACAGGGTGAGGGCGTGGCCGGTTGTTGTGGGGAGGGAGGAGGTGCGGGGGTGGTGTGGTGTGGGGATTGGGGAGATGTCGGTGTGGGAGAGGCAGGGGGATTCGAGGGTTAGGACGAAGTCCATGCCGATTATATCCGGGTCCAGGGCGCCAAGGTGGGTGGTTGGTGGTGGTGTGGGGGTTGGGGAGGTGGAAGAGCGCGATGAGGATTTTGAGGAAGGCGGGGAGACGGGTTGGGAGAAGTTTGTGATGGGCTTGTGGGGTTGGGTGACGGAGATTTGTTTTCGCCAGCTTCCCTTTTTTGTGATGCTGTTTTCTTGGAAGACGGTGAGACTTATGGTCTCGTCTGCTGCTTCGGTTTCTGTGGGTAGCGGGACGTCTTGTTGTGTCAAGCCCTTTTTTAGGATACTATTTTCGGCATAGAGTGTTTTGATTTTTGACTCGAGACGTGCTTCTTTGGCACGAAGGCGAACAACTTCGCTTTCTAGAGATGCGATATATGTTTCTTTTCGCTCGCGGTGAGTTCTAAGTGTCATGTTAGATTAAAGGAACCTGAGGAAACAACATCGGATGTTGTTGGCAGCAAGCATATGCAGAACACGCTGCATGGGAAATGAGAACGTTTAGAAACATACCTTTGTGCCCTACGAACTTGCTCTCGTCGTTTTTGTACTGGGTTCCGAGATTCTGTGGGATCTGCCTTGGGTGTCAGACGATAAGGCTGTGGTTTAACACTTTGCTTTTTTCCCGGCCCACGTGAACAGGTAAAAGCGGGGAACATACCATCTGTAGGAACCGTCTTGTCGCCCTTGAAAGGCTTAAATGCGAATTTCCTCATCTGGTGATATTCAGGTCGGTGTTTCGTCCAACAGCAAAATGGGAGCAACGAGAAAAGAAAACAGGTCGAAAAGGCTATAAGCAGCTTCAAAAAAAGAACGTGTTCCCTCGTTGAACCTTGGAGTTGGAGAAAGAATGTGATTTGTTAATCTTGCAACAACCAGAACGACCCGAGGGTGATAGATGGCGCCCGTTATGCACTGGCGCTAAGGGGTGGGTGGGTTCCCGACCCCTTCGTCAATGCGTTGTATGTGAACCCAAACCCTCCTGCACCCAATCTCCAATCCCGTCGCAATTCCATCTTACCAAACGTAATTGGTCGGAAGAAAAAAATTGCTGAAGCAGATGTCGCATTGGCGGCCGCTCACCCTCCCGCCCCCTTCCCCATTCCCCACTCCCTACTCCAGCTGCAGCTCCACAAGCATCTACTTGCAGTAACCGAGCGCCAAGAGCTGGATGGTTTGCGCATTAGTTGCAACAGGTAGCCTTGGTTCTCGAGTCAAAATTACGCCTTTGAGAAAGGATCGGCATGGCATTTCCCACTTGATGTTCTGATACAGGCACGGTTTCGTCTTCACCGCATGTCCGATCCCGCTTGTACGCATCCGTCAGAAATTGTTAGGCACTTTGTGCCTAGGCACAGGGCGTCCTTGATTTTTCCGCGTGCATGTGAAGCGTGTCGTAATTTACCATTGGCTGAGGGACAAGATGTCTTCGATGTATATGATTTGCTTTGGCCCAAAGCCACCTGGGTAAGATACTGTATCATGCCGATTCAGAAATTAGGAATAGATTGACTGCTAAGAGAATAGTAGTAATTTAAACATTTACTCGTTGAACGATTCGTAAAGGCGGCGCGAAGACTGTTTGTACAAAGGAAGTACGAGGCTCGATCAAGGGCATGGTGGTGTTTATATCTCCGGCTACACCCAAGGATTCTTCTTCCCATTTCATCACTGATGCTTTGCTCGAGGCGATTGCCATTATGATGAGTTCGGTTCGGCAGGCATCTGTTGAGGGTGCTGGTGATCTCTGCACTGCAGGTGACTCTGTTTATGCGCTCAGCCTAGGCAACGGAACGACGAACGCCACGGTCGCGGTACTCGACATTTCCGGAGGGAAGACGCGAGTGAAGCAGGCGCAACGTTTCGACTGAAGAATTACGAATATGAATAAGAACGCCAAGGCTATGGCTGCCACGTTGTCAGAGGTCTTGGGTACTGGGCAGGGTTGTAGCCTGAATTCTGTGTTGCGGTGATAGTGTCAGGCATCTTTTCTTTGGCCCTGGCTTCGAACAAAGAATTGGGCTGTAGGGGTTTAAATACCCTATGGCTCCTTTCGAGATCTTAATCTAAGACTAGACTGCGCCACATTACGCAGTTGTGGTTCTGACTGGTGTTAGTCACCAACGCACGTTCAAGTTTCGCACTGTCTTGTCGACTCCGGGAGGCCCATGGCCAAGTCGCTACGACAAGTTTCAAGTCTCGAACGCTTGTCATTCTCGAGTGTCAAACCTTTCAGGTGCTGGACACTGACACACGCTTGGTGTTTTCCTTGGGCCAACGTTGTTGAACTGGTTCATCTTGATATTTACTGTTCATGGTCCCCAGCCGATGATTATTGAGTCTAGTGGACTTAGCCATTAGTGCAAAGTGTTGGTTACAGCTAATGCATATCACAGCACGACATCAAAGCTTAGCAGGATAAGCATCATAAACCGCGGCAGTTCCGAGGGGGTGGATGCGATGCTGCGCCACGAGGGTTTGATTGTGGCGGCCTTACTGGACAGGAGCCGGTGAAGTGGTGCGTCAAGCACAGAATCCGGGTTGGTCCAACGCTATCGTTTCGGGAGGTGAGACTCAACGGATGCCGCGATGACACCGAGGTCTATCATAACATGGCTGTGGCACATCCTGAGGCTGGTGCTTAAGCAAAAACCGGTCAGGTATATAGGGCAGAGAGCGAAGGTGTTGTAGTGTTTCCTCTTGTGGCGTTGGAGTCATCATGGCAGGCGATGCAGTGTTTTGAGAAACTGCAGAGAGTCGGTGATAAGACGATGAAGTACGAGAAAGGGCGAGTACTATTATGGGCGTAGGTGAAGACATGGGTAGGTGCTTGAGAAGAGCAGACTAGTGCGTATGTGAGTAGTATATTTGTTGTATACGCGTAGTGCGTGTAGGCGCGCGGCCACGCTAAACGGCATTGGATACGGCAGAAAGTGGCGCACCTTCGGGAAGCCGGATGCTGGCCTTACGACCGGGCGTCAACTCGGTGCCGCAGCCATCCATAAGCGATGAGAAGAATGGGAGTGACAGCTTGTAGCATGATGGATGATGGATGAGTGGTGCATGTAGTAGAATTACTTAGACGAACGGCAGCTCGCAACGTCGCCAGGCAGAATCCGGGGAAGCCAACCAGACCAAGCCACAGGTCGCAAAGCTTAGCCCGGGAATCAGTGGAGAGAGAAGTGGGCCGGTAGCACAGCCCCACTCACCCACCACCAACATCATCACCATCCTATTACGTCGTCGTCCCCTCGGCCCGGCCAGCGCCATTAAAGTGATTAGAATAGCACGCTCGCCCGTATGTACTACCTGCAGCCCCATGCTGTAAAACCTGCCCCTCCAGAGACACGCGTCCCTGGCATATGAAAACACCCGTCACCCCCGGTCTCTCCAATAGCTAGTCAGTCTTTCAGCCAGCCATCCGTGTCTTTGTTCACCACCACTGCACACAAACACCCCTACATACAAGAAGGCTTTTGCGCCCTTGTACACTCGTTGATAATTTCTCACATTCGTTACCCACGCCCACTGCAACCGTCATGTGGAAGAGCGTGCTCCAAGCTACAGTGGTGGCGCTCGCTGCCAGTAGCGTTCAGGCTGCTAGCTACGACGACATTCCCGAGATTGAGGTCTTTGGTCAGCACTTCTTCTACACGAACAATGGCTCGCAATTGTAAGTGGTGATTTACTTGCAATCGCATACTACGTCACACTGACACATCTCGCAGCTTCATGAAGGGCGTTGCCTATCAGCAAAACTACAGTCCCAACGGCTCTACCAGCGCCAATGCCACCTACACGGACCCCCTTGCAGACGGCGCTGCCTGCCGACGAGACATTCCCTACCTGAAGCAGCTCTTCACCAATGTCATCCGTGTCTATGCCATTGACCCCACCAAGGACCATGACGACTGCATGGCGCAGCTGGCTAGCGCCGACATCTACGTCGTCTCAGACCTGGGCGAACCCTCTACTTCGATTCGCTCAAACGACCCAGAGTGGGATGTCACTCTCTACCGCAGGTACACGGGCGTCATTGACTCGCTGAGCAAGTACAAGAACGTCATTGGCTTCTTCGCCGGCAACGAGAACGTCAGTTCAGATAACCAAACTGCTGCTGCTGCCTTTGTCAAGGCTGCTGTCCGCGACACAAAGACGTACATCCAGAACCAAAACTACCGCAAGACTCTCGGTGTGGGCTATGCTACCGCTGATGTACCCTCCCGCAACGAGCTCGCCCATTACTTTGCCTGCCAGCCCGGTGACGCAGGCAACAAGACCTCCATTGACTTCTGGGGCTACAACGTCTACTCCTGGTGCGGCAACAGCAGCTACACAGCCTCCTCCTACGACGAGCGCGTGAAGTTCTTCTCCGACTACCCCGTCCCCGTCTTCTTCGCCGAATACGGCTGCATCGAAGGACTCCCGGGAGGTCCCACCAGCCGTCCCTTCACCGAAGTCCCCGTCCTCTACGGCAACATGACCAACGTCTTCTCCGGCGGCATAGTCTACGAATGGTTCATGGGCGCCAATAACTACGGCCTCGTCGAACTTACCGACAACGACGCCAGCGTCTCCCCTTACCCAGACTTCACCTCTCTCCGCGACCAACTCGCCTCCGTCACCCCCTCCGCCACCCAACGCTCAAACTACAACCCCACAAACACTGCTCCGGCTTGTCCCTCCGTCGGTGGCACTTGGCTCCCACAAGCTTCACCGCTACCGCCAACAGTCAACCCTCAACTCTGCGCCTGCATGCTCGACAGCCTCCAGTGCACATATACTTCCGACAACCAAGACGCCTACCCCAACGACTTCAACTACATCTGCGGTGCAAACCAAAAGTACTGCGCCGGCATCGCGCGAAACGCCACCAAGGGCGATTACGGCGCGTACTCGGGCTGCGATCCTAAAGATCAACTCGCGTTTGTCGCCAACCAGTATTATATCGGTCAGAATAAGCGCGCTGATGCGTGTTCCTTTTCCGGAAGGGCCAAGACGCAGTCGGCGGCTACCGCGAGTGCCTGTACGCCCTTGCTGAGTGCGGCGGGCGTGAATGGCCAGGGATCCGTACCGACGGCTACGGGCAAGGGGACTGCGGGTGTTAGCGGTGGTAGTGGTAATGGTGGCAGTGCGGTGAAGAGTTCTGGGTCGCCTGGTGCGGCGGCGGCGGGAGTAAATGCTCCGGGTTTCTTTGCGCATGGCAAGTTGGCCATGGGCATTTATGCTGGGTTTGCTGTTGTTAGTTTCTTTGGCATGCTGATGTTGTGAGTGGTAATGGTGGACGGTCACACAGCCTCCCCTTCTCTCCTACCTCTTTTTTTTTCTTTCTTGGTTGTATTCTGAGGGTGGAGAGAAAGAAAAATAGCGCGGAGGATTCTCCTTTTTCTTTTCCTTTGTCTGTGGGGAATTCATAAGGGGTTAGAGGAATATTGTAGTAGTGGTAGTATATCCAAGTTCACCGTTTCAAGAACTCTTCAATCTTCTTTCTTGTGGCGTGCAATCTGCTGGTTGATTCAATTACGATTACCCCCTTTTATTCCCTTCAGTCATTTCTTCTCTAATCAAACTTAACGGATACAGCATCTCAGTCACCTAATCAAAACAGAAGATCCCAAAGTATTCCTAACTGGAAATCCTACGAAAAACACCAGAAAAAAATGGCCATGAGCGAGTCGACCTGTGCATACGCCTCTGTCCACCCTCCTCGATCCTTTCTCCCCCTTGTAACTCAAGAAGATTATTGTAATCCTTACGACAAGACACGGTATCTGGGTGGGCTTTCCCCAGCACAGCAGTATATCCAGTCAATGCCCTGCGCAACACGGGCAAAGCTTCTGACATAAGCCCCTGTTTCCTGAGACAAATCGCAAGGTTGGACACGCTGGTCAGCGTGTCTACATGCACAGGTCCCAGCAGATTCTTTCGCCGCTCAAGCACCTGCCGATTCATCTTTTCTGCTTCAGCGTATTTGCCCTGTTCCATGAGACACTGCGCAAGGTCGGAGAGGTTCGTCAATGTGTGCGGATGATCGGGTCCCAGTACGTTCTCTCGCCCCTCAAGCGTCTGCCGGTACATTACTTCGGCCTCAGTATATCTGCCCTGGTGATACAATACAACAGCCAGGTTATACATGCTATCCAGCGTGTCTGGATTCTCGGGTCCTAGCAGATTCTCTCGTCGCTCAAACGTCTGTCGGTGCATTGTCTCGGCTTCGGTGTATTTTCCCTGTCCTTTGAGGACTTCTGCCATGTTGTTCATGGAGTCTAGGGTAGAAGGGTGGGTGGGTCCTAGTATTTTTTTGTTTATGTTGAGTACTTTCTGGTACATTGCTTCGGCCTCTGTGTGTCGATTCTTGCGAGACAGCATCGATGCCAAATTCTGGATGCTTGCTAGTGTGGTTGGATGTTCAGGCCCGAACAGTTTTTCGGTAATCGCCAACCCTTGGTTGTGTAATATCTCCGCCTCTTCGCGTTTCCCCTGTCTGTCTAGTACCAGAGCCAAGTTGTTCATGGCTGCCAGTGTATTTGGATGCTCAGGCCCTAGCACCTTCTTGCACTGCACTAGTGTCTGCTGGCCCAACGCCTCAGCTTGGTCGAATTTGCCTTGATCATACAGCACTAACGACAATTCGCCCATAGTTCCTAGTGTATCTTCATTATCAGGCCCTTGCACCTTTTCACGTATCGCTAGCTCTTCCCTACGGATCGCTTCGACCTCATCGTATTTCCCCCACCCATTCAGGGCAGACGCCAAGCAGCTCATAGTATACAAGGTCTTTAGATGCTCAGGCCATAGCACTTTTTTTTCTCAGCGATAATGCTGTTCGTTGTGCTGTCGCTGCCAATCTATAAAGCCCCAGGGTTTCTTGATACTGGCCGATTCGTGTTAGCAGTGAAGCTCTTATTGAGTCGTCTACGAGGTCAACGAGCTCAGCCAAGTACATTGCATGTGGAAGGTATATGCTCAATGTTTCTTTGCTTCCGTGATCACCATATGGCACAAGTTCCTGAGCTCGGGCTGCTGCTATGCCTGCCCACTCCTCCCGCTTGCCGTGTCCCTCGAGCCACCATATCAACGCCATATGTACTAGTCGATGCATATCGAAAAGCTTCTCCGTACTGGATTCTGGCACATTCTGTCGTCGCTCTGTGATAAACGCGTATCCAGTCAGTGTTCCAATTGCTTTTGTCTGCCGCACAGCGGATTCTCCCGGCGGTAATAGCGACCTAGGAATGCCAATGCGATCAATGCATCCTATGAACGAAAGGTACTCCGCTGCAAGAGGGTCTTGCCTCTGGATTTGCTCAAAAGAGATATGCCACGTCTTCGCTACAGTGCTGTCCATGTCTCGGTACCTAGTAGGGTCTTCAAATTGCTCGCTGAAGAGCTCGGCCTTGGTGCCGGCATCATGAAGCAGTGATGCGTATTCAGAGACTGGCATTTCGTTCTGGTTGATAAAAGCAGCTGCTTGCACGATAGCCAGTGGCAGGCCTGTAAGAGTCTCTACAAGGGCATCAACAGCTGTCTCATCATTCAGCAAGGCTTGGTTGTTTATTCGGCGGACAAAAAGCTGCTTGGCTTCAACCTTTTCCATGTCGTTCAACTCGAGGACGTTATTTGGGGTCAGGTCTGTTGCTGCCTTTCTATTGCGAGTAGTGAGAAGCACAGATCCTCCTGTACCACGGGGAACATAGTCGATTAATCGAGCTGGTGTGGTTGCTTTTTTGCCAATTCCTAACAAGACTTCCGAGTCATCCGCATTGTCGACTATCATCAGCCAATTGCCCAGTTTTCCGGAACTTAGTTCATCACTGACAAGTCGCTTGAAATCTGCATTGGCATCATCGATTCCTGGAATGCGAAGCTGAGTTCCAATGTCTCGATAGGCAAGCTCAAAACTTTCCTGACTTATAGCTGGCACCCAGAAAACTAGGCGACTAGCTTGATCCGCAAATGCGCGATACGCAAACTCGAGAGCAAGCGCTGATTTCCCACATCCCCCAAGTCCATATATTGTCAGCCATTGGTGGGTGTCAGGCGAAATCAGTGCTTGTCTTATCGACTGAAGCTCACTCTCTCGTCCGGCGAAGCGCTCGTTTCGTGGAAAAGGTAGTGACAGTACGGCTGTAGATCATCAGCGAAGTGGCCCATGCAGTTCAATGTTACCCAATACAAACCGGAGGTGTCTTGCAAATCCGCCTTCTTGCTCGTTTGTTGCCGTTTTTGTATCTCTTCTTTGAGTCGCAAAGCTGCATACCCCTCTCCCTCTCCATAAATGAGCGCCAGAAATACTCCAAAGATGCCGAGCAAACAATACACTTTATCTTCCTTGATCGTGGTCGTGCGCTTTGCAGACCAGCTCATTCGCTCCTCGATGCTAAATTTGGTGAGGCTGTGACCTCTCAACGCCTCGACAGGTACGCCAGTGACTTTGTGTATCTCCTGCTCTAGCGACATCTTGTTGCCCAGCCACTTGCCGTCTCGAGAGAAGAACTCAACTCTGGTTGGCGCTAGTAGCTCTTGCAAAGTCCAGCCTCGTGTGAACCATCGGCTGCGTTGAAAGGCCTGCTCCCATGATATGTCAGATGTCTCAGTGCGAGCGACTTCCTCGGGTACAGAAACGTCTGCGAGTAGTACATAGCACTTGGCTGCACGTTGGTACCAGCGGAAGATGGAGTTAATTGCCGTGCTCAGCTCGTCGCTGGTAGCCTTGTTGATGCAGCAGGTATCGACCCAGAAATACTCGAGTCCATCTGCTGCAGCGCGCTCGCCGCAGAATCGAATCTTAGCATAGCCATCCTTGTCGGTGCCTGTTCCCTTCAGTAACTCATCATAGGTGACTTCTTGGTTTTCGGTCCAGGTATGAGAGAGGATGGCGTATGGAGGAGTGAGGTCGTCGTTAAAGGACGCTAGCTCGAAGCCGCTGCCCGTTATGGAAGACTTGAGGAGGCGCATCGTGTTCCAGCATGTTCTACTAACAATACCTGCAGGCTTGATTGCGGTGCGCAATGCAGGCAGGTAGAGGTAAGAGGAGCAGAGTGCGTCGAGCAGGCTGCCAGCAAGCACCTGATGCCCCCGCAAGGTTGCATGGCTGCGGGCTGCCTATTGGGGCATGGCAATCTAGAGGCATAGTAGCGAACCTGGGCAGGTATTCAACTGGCCTGGGGGCTAATTGTAGTAAGAGCTCTGTCTGAACTAGTAGGTTGAGCGCCCACGTGAACCAAAATCAAGCAAGAACATCGAAGCACGCTCTTGCAAACTGTGCATTACATGCAGTAAGCAGTGGCAACTTCATATCTCTATACAAGACATCTGGTAAGCATCACAAGCACGTAGGAACAAAACCGAGAGAGCAGAAAGGAAGATAGGGCAGAACACTCAGTTCACAGCAAAACCATAGTTTACAAACTTCACATTTCTTTACATTAATACATATACGTGACTTGTGCAGGTAGCATACATGTTTTTCCTTCGGGACGCCACGCTATGCTCAACAAGTAAGCCACCAACCAAACATATACATAACATAGTGGCCGAAAAGATCAATCAATTAATCAATTAACCCAATCACAATGGTAATTGCTGTTTGCTTCATTTTGGTCTTTCTTTTGCGTTCAACAATGCGTTTTGCCGCGTTTGCAAATCAGGACAGGCCTCGCTCTACGTAACATTTCTTCTTCTGGTGCAATGTGCTGCGTACCATCTCTTTCATATTGTATGTACTGCACATCGTTTCTTCTACTTCCTAGTACATGTTGGGTGGTCCCGGACGGCCTGGCTGTTGTCGCGGAGGCCCATTGAACTGGCCATCAAACATCATTCTTGGGTCCTCACCACCACGCATACCTGGCATTGGCGGTCCACCATAGCCTGGTGGTGGAAAGTAGCCGGGTGGTCCTTGCATGCCGTTTCCACCAGGTCCTACTGGACCTCCTGGCCCACCAGGTCCGCCTGGGAATCCTAATCCACGAATGTTGCCACCTGGAGGAAATCCGGGAGGGTGTCCAAGCGGTGTGTTGCCAGCGGAGAAACTTGGTCCTCCGGGGCCCATCTGCGGAGGAGTCGGACCACCAAGACCAGGTGGTTGACGCATGGGACCTCCAAAGCCTGGCGGTGGAGCAATATTTGGTCGCTCTTGGGGTGTGGGTGGCATGCCGGGTTGGCCTCGTCCGCCCATGTACTGCATATCGGGTGTGGGCTGCGAAGGAATGCCCATGTTGGTAGGCATGCGAGGATCACCTCCTGTGTTACGACGCTGAAGGCCCATGAGAGCATCTTCAGGGCCAGGGAATCCCATAGGCATGCGGGAATTCTTCGAACGCATAGCCTCCTGTTGTTGCTGCATTTGCTGCAATTGGCGGAGCTCCATTTGCTCACGGCGGTCAGCAGCATCCCGGCGCAACATTTCACTTTCGTTAAACATGCGAGGATCTTCCATAAAGCCTGGGGGAGGACCGCCGCGGCCCTTGGGCTGGTGCTGAGCTGGTGGCTGTGGTTGCTGTCTTTGCTGGTCAAAGAAAGCCATATTGGGGTTCTCTTGGGCCGGACGAGGCAGACCGTGACCTTGTGCTTGAGGTGGTGTGCCGCGAGAAGGTTGTTGCATGAGGTTTAGCAAAAAGTCACGCTCACGTTGTTTCGTCGCTTGATCACGTTGTGATTCTTCCCTTGCTCGGCTGTTCAAGAGAGCGGTGAGGTTAGCATCTTGAGCGATGGTTCGTGGTGGGGGTGGCTGATGAGGAAAATGGTCTTCAGGGTGACCGGAACCGGGGCGGGGAAGTCTGAATTGATCAGAGTGTAGGTTCTCTGTTGACATGTTGTTAAAGCGGAGCTGCTGCGACTGACGAGACTCTGGTGCGGCAGGACGAGGAGCCAAAATGTTCTCTAGAATACTCTGCTGCTCAAGAGTTCGCGGTGGTGGTATTCTGCCGTGTTGCGGGTCTGGTGGAGGAGATTGTTGATGGAAATCCAGGGAAATACCACCACCCTGTCTCATGCCATTTGGTGGCGTAGGCATATTTGTTTGTGGCAGTGGAGCTGGTGATGGACCGGTACTGACTTGACCGAGCATCTGAAGAATACGTTGGAAGCCTTCCTTGTCAGCATTTGCTTCCATAGGAGGTGCGGGGGATGCAGAGTGTGGTGCTGGAGGTTGGTTTGGTGCTGCCTGTTGCTCTTCGGGTTTGGCGAACATGGTCATGAACCTCGATTTCTTGTCTGCCCTTGGTTTGGCAGAGATATTCTCTACCGGTGGCATCTCTGCAGACTTGTCCCTGCCCCAGTTTCCGAAAAGAATACCTTGAGTGGGTTCGCCAGCAGAAGGTGTGTGTAAAGGTGCAGTTAACATGGGGGCTGCGGTGATAGCGCTTGCAGTAGGCGTCTCCGTAGGAGCCTCTCTCGGCTCGTCCTTGTCACCACCTGGCGTATCCTTAGCCCGCATCTGCTCTTTCCAGCGCTGGAAATCTTCTTGTGTGCGAGGCTTGAATTCCTTCTTCTCCACCTTGGCGTCCATCCACTCCGGGTCATCTTCACCACGGGCCGCACTACCACGGGTCCATTCGCGGCCATTGTCTCGCTCCCGGTCTCGTTCACGTTCGCGCCAACCGCCCTGGACGCCGGTCTTTGCTCCCTCATCTCTACCTTCGTCACGACGCCCCCATCGCGGCTCGTTTCGATCACGGGTATTACGACGCGGGGCCGCTTCAGCCTCTGGGTCGCCCTCATGCTTATCCCGGTTGCGGTCACCATTGCGGCCGAAGCGCTCAAAGTCTTCCTGGCCCAGGCTCTTGCGACCCTTGACATTGGTCCAGCCCTCGCCATCGTCTCGCGGGGCGCGGCGTCCATTGGTGTAGCCCTTATCTCGGGTCCTATCAGTCTCACGGTCTCGGGTCCATCGGTCGTTCTTTGGAAAGCGATCTCCGCCGTTGTCTCCGTCTGTAGATGTGAGGCCGGTGCGTTCCTTTGCGTCACCCACTGCTTTGGCCGGAGTGCGGGCTGAGAGGAAGGCTAGCTTTGGCGGGCCGAGCACAGTCTCTTCGCCGGGTTCTACAAAAAGCGCGTTAATAGCGGCCTTGATGCCCTGGGCATCAGAAGACTTACGCATGCTCTGGCGCCGACCAAACTGGCCCATGGGGTTGTGCAGCGGCCGCTGGTCGTTTGCCGTGGCGCCTTCTCCCTCCCGTGCACCTCGCGTGCGACGCATGGTACCGTTGTTGTTGGTATTGGTGTTGTTGTTGTTATTGTTGCTTGTGTGGCCATTGTTGGCATTTTGATCGACAGGCACGTCCATCCATTGCGAGATTGACGGCAGGCCATCGGGCTTCTTCACCAGCGGGGACTCTTTCAGAGCCAGCAATTGAGCCTCCGAGTACGACGGTCCCCGCATTGTCGCGACTGAGGGCACCGCAGACATGGGGATGAAAGTGGGGCAGGTCGACCTGCTGAAGCTCGAGACAGCAGGGCGGGATGGAAATTGGGGGATTTGGAGTGCCGGGCGACGCCGGCAGAGGCAGCTTCAGGGCCGTCTGGTAGTGGCTTGCTGTCGACTCGCTTGCAATTGGATGTGATTACGTCTGTGTGTGTGCGGGCGTGGGTGATAGGTTGTGGGTTGTGGTTAAGTGGAAGAGCTGAGAGGCGTGATGCTGAGGGTCAGGGTTTGTGGCGTTCGGTCCAAGCGCGCGTGTGTGTCGCAAGGCTGGAGAGCGAGGTGAATGAGCTCTTGGTGGGATGCAACGTGGTAGGGGAGTAGCGCACACCCTGGGCTGCAGTAGCGGCGACTGAAGCGGAGAGGGATCAGCTCCCAAGTCGTGACTTTGTGCCAAGGGCGGGTGTGGTTGCGGCTCAAAAATGTCGTCGTCGCTCCAAAGGCGCAAATGGGAAACAGGGGAAGCGTGGGCGTGGAAATGGTAGCGTGAGTTTGTTATGGCAGTGTGTATTGGGTCGCCAGTGGTGCGGGCCTCTACGACAGAGAGCCCTGCCAAGACCTGGTGCGGAAACACGGTAGGTGCGTCATTCTAGGGTTCACCGCATGTGACTTGGCCGTGGCACAGAACTTCAGTCAACCGTGGGCCTTTTAGTAGTATGCCCAAAAAAAATTAAATAGATATCATGTATATCCTTAGGCTTTGGTCAGACAAGCTACCGTCTTGCCCAGACTACCGCTACTCCACGCTGCCACTTTCTCCTGATCACATGTCTCATAAACACGTCCTGCCAGTATCCTCAGGGCACCCTGTCGCGCGTCATGTCCGTCGAGCATCATTTGGATCCAAGCCATCAGTCCGCATCGTGTGATGAGCGTTGTGCTTCCCCCTACGTGTGTCGCCCGCAACAGGAGCTTCACAATCTTGTCTTTGGCAGACGCCGAACATGACCGAGACCCATAGTGGCTCAGTAGTTGTTCAAATATGTTGCTTCTCCTGAACAACTCCATGTCTGCCCCTGTCCTCAAACTGTCCATCAAGTAATCCAAGTACCAATCCACTTCTTTGTGATAGGTTGTGTCATCGTCTGGCTGACTGGCCACAATGCGGTGCCAGAAGAAACGCAACAGAGAGTTGACATCCCACGCCGGTGAGGCAGTGAGAAATCGGTTGACTGCGCTGAAAAGCGAGTGAGTCGGGTCTGCAACGATGCTCGCGCAACGCGCAGCCAATACGCCACCAACGTACGGAAAAGCCTCCTCACCAGTCTCATCAATAGACTCCAAAAGCTCACCGAGAAGGAGATAGAGTTGTTGAAGATCAAGGTTGATGCTGCTTCCGGCATCCCCTCCAGAACCATCTCCTTGACTGCTGAACTTGATTGTTGCTGTAACTTGTCGGATGTTGTTGATGGCCTGCTTGCGGATTTCACCGTGTTCGGAGCAGAGACACAGAATCAACTCTCCAATATCACCGTCTTCAACTGCTTCGCCCAGCTCCTTCTTCCTCCAGCGTATCAGACCTGTGTGCTTTTCGTCTTCAACTGGGGGTGCCTCTAGATCGACCGCAGATCTCGTCCTACTTTGCTGTTCAGCTTCCTGTGCTCGCACTGCAACTGGCACAGGTGACGTCGATGATCGTTCCGACCCACTGAAGTCTGCACCAGTTGCCAACTTCAATGATTCCTTGGCTTTTTCCTTGCCCATCTTCCATAGGAAAGCATCCTTGAGCACCTCCTTGTATGCTGCATTGGCTGATTCAACAAGGGCGTCGCGGACCTGGCCCAGCATCCTCTCATCTTCGCCAATGAGTTTGAGAAGATAGAGAAGTCGTGATAGCCATTGTGCAAGAGAATCGGCTGCGTTACTCGTTGCTGTCTCTCCACCCTTGAACGGCCATTGCTCCACTAGAGTCATCAGCAGGTTGCTAAACGGCCCCATGTCGCTTGCAGGTTGTCCAGTGCGGCCACACATGACATCCAAATCGTCAAAGTACTTAATGGGCACCTTGGTGAAACGCGCGCAGCAGTCATCCAGGAACTCAAGTACCTCGGTTGAGAATGCGCTTGATCCTGACGTTGATCCTAAACTGGCAATGAGTGCGTCAAGCGCATCAGGCGAAGTCTTGGTTTGCAGCATCTCCTGATCCTGCAAGATGTCGCTCAACAGAGATCGGATGCCTGCATAGAGCTCGCTCTCCTTTGATGTTACCAGTAGTTTCAAAAGTGTGACAAATGGCGAGTATGAAAGCGTTTCTGTAATTGTTAGTCGGGTCTGCCATCTAATGTCATGGATAAGGTAAAAACCTACTCTGCTTCTGCCACCAGCGCATCGCTGGCGACAGCCTCGCCATTTGTATCCAGTGTTCAAGTTCCATGATGCGAAAGACCTTGTCTTCTGGCGATGCAGTCGGCTTCTCGGCCTCCACCAAGGCGTTACACAGGGGCAGCGATACATCAAACTTCTCCTGAAGCGCGACCTGAGGGGTCACCTCGTAGTAAAGTCGCAATAATCTCGTGATTGACTCTCGCTTCATGTCCTTGAGACCGGGCTTCTTGAGCGCCAAAAAGACCGTCCGGATCGCTGGGCAACGTCGGCTGACATCTGATACTAGACGCTTAGACACTTGCTCCCACTGTTTAGATGATTTCACAGCACTGGCGTTGCTGATTTCTTGAAGGATCCCTCGTAGCTTCTGAAGGGCCACAATCAAGACCTGCATCGCGAATAACTGAACGAGATCTGAGCTGTGGTTGAGACACTTTGTGAGTACTTGCTGGTTCAGAGGCTGGGGCAGGATGCTGTTCATCAGCACAGCCACTGGAGGAGGATAGTCGCGATAGTTCTTCTTCGCGCCAAAATATTTTGGAACTGGTAGCTGGATGGTTTGATACAGAAATGCTGAATAGCCGATCCAGGTTGACGTGAGCTTGGGGTCGTAGCTGAAGTCGCGTCGTTTGATAAAATAGTCTGCAATTAACTCAGGACAAGCTCGGAATATATCCACAACAAGCTCCTGATGCAGGGTATTTGCATATGGTCTCTGACTTTGAATGAACTCTGACAAGATAATGTTCCGTACTTTTGTTATCTTGCTGTAACTGCCAACGGTGTCGAGCCCCAGGTCATTGCCGTAACCAGCTGCATCATCCTGTTCATCCTCGTTGTCGTCAAATGCAGATGGATAGAAACCCTGCGTGGGCAGCATAACACCATATGCGGGATCGGTGCACACTAGACGCAAGAAATCATGAGCGAGCTGGTCGGGTGCCTTTTGCCCTTCTGAAAGCGACCCCTCTTCTGGTTCGTAGCTGTATAAACTTGCTATCCGCGAAAGTGTCTTTCCGCTCAAGATCCTGCTCTTGGTCTGTCGTGTAATTGCTTTGTCCTGGAACACATGGCTTCTGAACACATCGAGTATCTCGTAGATCAGAAACGGCGGGTCTGTGCGGATGTGGTCGAAGACGGTGCGCACAACGTTGGTATTGGAAAGTATCTCGCTTTTCGCGCGTTCATCCTGGTACCTTAGGTGCATCAAGAGGTATCGGATCGCCGTGGTTCGGATGCTTGGTTTCTTGACATGGTCGGCTACCGATTGTTCTCTGCTCAGGTTGATATTTCTCCCTAGAATCTTGGGTTCGAGGGTAAAATCTCTTTTTGCATAGACAGTCCTCGCATGAGCGCCTTCATTGAATCTTGTGAGCTCGGTAAGCAGACGGAGCGCAGGCGCAATGACGTTCTCTTCCTTGGATGCAGCCGAAGTACTGCGCACGAAGCGGCGCGCAATGGACGGTTGCAGGAGTGTTTTTGCCAAAAGTGTGCCGTAATCTAGGAAATCCCCGTGGCTAGAAAAGACCTTGAATAAGAGTGCGAGTACAGCGGTGACCTGAGAGACGATAGGACTGTTGTTGGTCTCGACCGCATAATCCCATGCCTGGGTAAGATTCTGCAAGAAAGCCTTGTCCTTTTCCTCTCGTCCTTTTCCCTTTTGTGTGTCCAGATACTCGCGGAGGATAGCTCGTTTGCGGGGCAGATCGTGCTCGTCGGCCGGGTAAAGGATGGAATCGAGGAAACGCTTGAACAAGCTCAGGCCTATACTGATGAGTCTCTACTAATATCTCATAATAACAGCTATACTTACCGCTTCGAAAGTTGCTTTGGGAACTCTGGTCGAAGAACAGAGCATTCTGCAGGTCGCGCGCAGCGGTAACTTCCTCGGCACTGCCATTTGGCCGTGGTGAATTGCGTTCATAGTTGGTATCGATTTTCTGGCGTTTGTTCTCGCGATCCACATGCGCATTCCTGGCATGAGCGTCATAGGCGGTCCTTTTCCCCATGGCGCAAGTTATGTCGCGTTGCACGCATCGAAAAGTTCGAGCATCTGAATTTCGGCGGGCCTTTGCAGGGATGTCGGTTAGCGCAAAGCCCAAAGCTTGGACCCATGGCCGTTTACGTACTGTATGGATTCACCACCGAGTCTAGACGTGCGTAAACATCGACAACCTCACACATCACCACAAATGGGAAAGATGCTTTTTCTCATTGTTTGATTTTTGTTTTACTATCTATGTAGCCGATTGAAATGAAGGCTACATCCCTCTATTTGCTCCAATTACAAGGACTATATCTAGGCTGCAGTCAGAAAAAGTGGCTGCAGCGCTTTCTAGCTTGGTATAGGCCCTTCCTATGGGCTTGCTTGATCTTGCGTGATAGGGTGCGATGTTGGTTGATCAGAAAATGCCACTATACAAAAAAAGTCGCAGAAGACTCCGAGGATATGCCGATGCTGCGATGCGATGCAAAAGTGACAAGAAAAAAGCGCAATGCAGAAAAAAGGTCATGACAATAGGCCAGCGGCCCTGAACAAAGGAAACCAGAAAACGCCATTGCAAATCTCGGTTTTGTTGTCGCTAAACAAGGATGTCCGGGGTATCATGCAGCGACATAATAAGGAAAGGGAGAACGGAGCGCGCAACGGAGGACAAGAACCATCGAACAGGACCGTTGATTTTTTTGTATGTCATCGTTTTAGAGGCCTATTGTACTTTGATCCCGAGCTTATGGAGTTATTCTTCTCGCGGATCTGTATCGTCGGGACTGGTTCTTGGTTGTTCTTGGCCGACAAGGCTGCAGAAATGGCGAGGGTGATAAGCGTAAGGACCTCTGCACAGGCAGCACTGATGGCGGTGTAGAATGCGACTCCCTACATACTATATTAGCAAATGCTATAGGCAGGTTTCGACGAGCGCAAAGTCTTACCTGCTCCTCGCAAACAGCGCGATACTGGTATCGCCCATTTGTCAACAAGTTCTTATTTGTGCACGAGTATCGACCCAAGCTGGCCTTGCTCGCCTTGTTGAGCAAGTAGAATACCACTAGCGCTGTGATCCAGGTGATGACGCCGAAGCTGCCGGCAACGACACGATATACATCTCGTGAGCGAAAGGGGCGACGGAAGGAGCGCTTGAAGGAGAGGGTGAGGATGGC